AGCACTGAATTATGTAACAATGAGACATGAAATATAAACTGAAGATCGAGACATAGAGGGGGTAGGCGAGTGTGTGGATCTGCTCTCAACATAGAGAATACTCTTATGTCTAACCCAGGAGAGAGTTTACAAAATCTACAGGTAAGACTTAGATTAAATTGCAGATATAATATGATATATATGACATAGCCAGAGTTGGTAACATTGTTTTCTTCCAGTGATAGTACCTCTTTGGATCATGCTGAGCTTGACCAATTACCAAATTCAGTCTCAGATGATGAAGATTTGAGCTTTGATCAAGTCAACCTGCCTGTGATTTCAGATTCAGGGTCAGATCGAGGGCTGCCAGCAGCCTCAGAAACTGATTTCATTGCCCAGCAGCTGGTTCCAGGTACAGCAGATATCCCAGGACCGTCCCAGGACCACAGTCTGAAATAAGAACAGTTTCTGGTCTGCCCCATTCTCCTCCAGCAGTTTCTTCAAAGCCCCCTTGGCATTCTATTCCTATTGATAATATAAAAGTTGAGAAACTGCAGATTTCTCTTCGGTTTATTGAAGCACTAGAACTATCTTCAAAGGAAAATAGTCAACTTAGTGCAGCAGACAATGAGCAACTATGGAATCCTCCTAGATAATCTTTGAATACCAGTGATCCTGCCCTTTGTCAAGAACTAAAAACCTTTATGGGTGCAGATGGGCCTATTACTCAAGATAATTGGGCCCTGGCAATGTTCGTGAGCTGTCAACTGGCCATCATCGTGCCATGTGTTGCATTTAGGATGCCAAGAGCTACCGGGGGCTGGTTTGTGGGGGAGGGGAGTTTAGCACATTTGTCGCTGACTTTGATCCCATCAACTGAGTTCTAAAATTCCTGTTTTCAGGGCATAAGGGCCAAAAACTGAATCTATATTGATGTTCTATGTTCTACATGCAACTTTACAGGTGGATAAGATAAGAGTACACCGCCCGCACAGTGAGCCCCACGTCCACCCACTCCAGGGCCAGCCATTCTCCCCCATCGACAGTGCGCCGGGCCATGCCCAGTGCGATGACCCTTGCCTTGCTGTCCCCACACTACCACCGCGATACTTCGGCCACGCCACTATGCGAGCTCTGGCACATGACGCAGCAACAAGCCACCGGCCCAGCTTGACACCATGGTCCTGTCTCGGACCCAAGTCTACAACCATTAGAAAGGTGCTCCGGGACGTCCACACAAGCATGCTTGCCCATCACGCTTGGCTTCGGCCAACGTGGATCCGGGCGGAGGGCTGCCCTTCTCAGACGCCGCCCCCTCCCTGTTCTCGCTCACTGTCGTTCAGCGTGGTCCCTCGGGTTGGTGCGTTCAGTGTCGCAGGGCAATGCTTGGTTGTATGTTGGCGAAAATGGCAAAGCGGGAGATGGTAGTAGTTGCGGAAAGTGATGCAGTGGGGGTTTGCACCAGCATATGGCGATCAGCTTCAGCTCTCAGTGCGTGGGATCTATACTGTGAGCACTCCACAATAATGGGGTAAAGAAGCTGCACCAGGCTGCCCATTGTGCGCCCTGCGCTCACCGCCGCATTCTTGCCTTAGTTCAGCGCAGACCCTTGCTGTCGTGACAGAGGTGGTGGTGATGGTTCTGGTCGGTCTCGAAGAGCGACATCCCGGTGCGTGTCGGGGAAGACATTGGGAGAGAGAAGGTGGGTGGTAGTGGTTTCGGAAAGAGAAGTAGCTTGGCGTTGTCACAACGATCGGGTCACCATGACGGGTCACGCGGATACTGTGATCTTACGAAAACAGATGTTCGGCTAACAGCTGCCATCAGTCTCACGAATGATGGGTTTTGATCTCACAAGAGCAAATCGCCCGCGCGCTCACGAACATTACTATTACCCAGATAATTATGACACTATCCGTAATACGGCACCGTAACCGTACTGTAAGGCCCCCTGGGCACCGAGCTTACGGTACGGCAATGGTACGTTGGTGATGCCGTAAGTGCCGTCCCGTATACGGGGACGGTGGCCGTATATACGGCGTAGCTCGGCTAAGACAGAAATTGACACCTGTGTAAGGGGAGCATGTGATGTGACAGCTGTGACTGATCACGTGACTGGTCCGTGCGCAGATAGCCCTGTACTTAAGTAGTTGGCCGTGGGGCTGTTCCCCCGGCTTTGGTATCAACTAGGCACCTGGACCCTCATCCCCTGACAGCATACCAAAGCCTCTATATCGACTCTGGCACTCTTCTAGCCCCAGTTGATCCTCTCTATCTCCTATATTCGTCCTCACCCTACTGTGCTTGCCTGCTCTTCCCCAATGACGACTCCTGGCGTCCCTGTCGACCTGTATTCGTACTGCCTGCTCCTGCAGAGCGAAATTACTTGCCTCACCGACCGTCTCGACCGCCTTGAGTATGGTACGCCTGCTCCACCCCCTGCTCCCCCTTCTCCTGGTCCTACATTCCATGGCGTTTGGGACGGCACTCGCTGGGTTCTTCCAACAGTCCCGGCCCCTACCCCTGCCGTCATCGCTGCAGCCCACACTTCCATACCACTTGCCGAAACCTTCCCCAAAGCGTACTATCGACGAAACTCCGCAATAGAGAAGCGCCAATACGATGCCCGGAGAGTTTATACTCGTTGGATCAGGACTAACTGCCTTAAACTCTCGACCAGCAACCAAAACTCAATAAACAGCAACCAGAACTCTCTTTTATTCAGCAACCGAAATCCTCAACCAATGATCCTTCGATGCGATGATACTATTTCGAAAGAGCTAGCAAGATAAATTGACGAGCTAGATCCCCAGATGCACCTAGTAGAGCGGGGCAATCCGTGAATCTCCCAAATACAAGATAGTGATATAAATACTAAAACAAAAATGATAAAATGAGGTAGATCATGAGTAAGAAAAGTAGTCCATGCACATAATTGTATTGGTATCGTTTCGCCATACGGCCCAGAGTCGAAGATCCAGGTCCAGATGACTGGTATCGTGTGTATTGGTGTCAATGACCTGTGTAAATCTTCCATGTTCACGACTATCTAGTTTTGCTTGTGAAGAATCCCTCAATCTTGAGTAGGATAAGTTGATAGCTCGGCTGTCCAGCTCTTGAATGACACACATAACTCGTATCTTGCATGTATGGCCTCAGCGATGTTTGTCCCAACTCTCCTGGTGCAAATCCAGTATTCAGATGTCCAGTTCCTCGTCAGTGTTTTAGAGTCACCATTGATCGCAGGTCCAGGCCCCAATCAATTGAGTTGGTTTCTCCCGTTTAGCCATCCCTTGGCACTCTCGATCCTCCAGCATGATCCGAAACCATGTTCCAATGATGTCAGTCGTCAATACCAACAGAGATAGGGGTGTCCCTTATCTAGGAGAAGTCGATATCGAGTCTCCAGTGCACGCCAAACCGAATATGCCTTTTAGTTTACATTCCCTTCGGGTATTTTGCATAGGATTGGATAGATCTTAGCAAGAAACGGGCCCTGTGAACTTTTCGTAGTCGAGATTTCAGAATCACTTAGAGCGATCTGATAGATTTTGACTGGTTCTTTGGCAGATAACTCCCTAGCTGACCATTCGGGACTCATGTCAACTCTGAGACGTGTGCTGAGCAACAAAATCGACAAAAATAGTTGTTTCCTGGTCTGTCCCAGACTGCGGCTTTTCACCGGGGTGGAAAGCCCCGGCCAGCGCCGCAACCCAGTGTGGAACCAGATGTTTGAACCCAGGAATAGTGGAAAAGGGGAAGAAGGGGGGATCATGCTCCCCGCGGCGAGCGAAGCCCCCGGCAGGGCGGGTCCAGGGCAAGGCCCTGGTTGCGGTCCGGGGTGGAAAACCCCAGCCGGCGCCGCAACCGGTAGACCTGCGATGATCCCGTTGATCAGTGGGACTTGTGCATGTGTCACATTTGACTGCACGAATCCTACTGATGGGACATGAATCAGTGGGACTGGGCAGGATCAGTGGGATTGGCCCAGTCCCAGTCCCACTGATTTCGTATACACTCTGGCTTTGAGTCAACTCAGCCAACCTCACACGCCTAGCTTATTGGCTACGGTGTTGCTCCAAGTAGCCGTGATGGCTCTACGCACACCTAACCCACCTGCTTTTTTTCAAGGCATCCCCATTCTACCCTGCACTGGCTCAACCTCCGAGTCTCTGACGTATAGATAATGTTGCAGATTGATTAATGTTGCAGAATAAAAAGTTGCGGAAAATATATACTCTGAAAACATTTTGCGGATTTTGGGAATGGCTGTCATTCACAGCCAAGGGGGGTTCAAGATCCTTATCAGGCACATGGGGTAGGGGGGGGGTCCCAGGGGGGTAAAAAAACTTTATGAAAGATTTGGGCCTTATATGGGTGTAAAGATACTGAAAATATAGTGTATATACTCCAATTTCTATAGTTCACAACCCTCATACTTATATCTATATACTTTCAGGCCCATATGCTTGGATAGCCCACTCTGTCATGGGCCCATCATCAGGTAATTGATGAGAGGTGAACATGTTGAAGAGTTGATATGGCCTGCCATATGTGTCTGAAGGCTCCAGGTACATGCATACCTACACATATACACATACCCATGTATAGAATTTTTGCAAAAAAAAAAGTTTCACAAAGATTAAATTTTTTTATCCCACTTTTGATCGTATCAGTGGTCACATGACGTTGATCGTGATAATATATTACTATATAAGGTAGGAGGGGGGGAGGGGGGGGTCCCCAGAGGGTCGGAAAAAAACTTTCCGACCCTATATCCATGTTTCAAATCTTGAACCCCCCTTGCCCAAACGCTAATTTTTTGGAGAAAAGCCTTGGCACTCTCAAAATGTTTCTGAAATCTGGAGGCCAGGTCAAAATTTCTGAAGGCTGTTTTTTACGGCTGCTGATAATTTTTAATGCTGCTTGCAAATTTGCCAAAGAAATAAAGTTTCATTTCCGACATATGTTCATCCAAGAAATCTTATAATAATCAACACAAGAAGTGACTTGCAACTTGCTCAGTCAATCTCCATTGCATCATTGACAGCCGGCACTGCCGTTCTCCTTCCCCTCTTTGGCGTCCGCATTTCTCGAGTGCTAGGGCCGAGACGCTTGCGCCAGCGCACCTTGGCACTGTCAGACACTTCCACGCCGACGGCAAGGAGCATCTCTGCGGTTTGTACCCACACACTGTTGTCTATCTCGCGCCTGTGTGAATATACTCATTAATGACCTGGCCAATGTGAACCTGCACAAATGAAAAACACACTCAGTCGTTGGCCATGTGACAGGTTCGCTGAGCGCCACCTCGCGGAGGCCCGGGAGCTGGGGGCAAACCCGGGTGGCGAATGGTTGGAGGAATTCTTTGCACATTCGTTCCGCATATCTGCCGCCATGAGTGTGAGGCTTGTAGAGATCAGGAGGGGGTAAATACATACCCCCTATCCAACGGCATTTCTATCCGGAGTATCGCAAGACATGTATGCGCCGTTCCGGGCTGCGGCAGGAAAGCGGGGAGGGTGTATGCCTGGAGCTGTATATGTAAAGTCACGGGTAAGTTAACACGCGCACCAAAATTTGGAAGAAACTTACGGGTGAGTGCGTCGCGCTGACGACCAGCTCCGCGAGCTTCGGACACGAGTGAAGGATTGTTGCCTTGGCCGTGCCGAAGCCCAACCCAGGTATGATAAGCGTCTCAGCTGCAATAGAGAGGAAGTCTATATGTGGGCCGGACACGACAAGTTGTGAGAGCTGGGCTGGATCGACGCCGCGGCCGAGTATCAGCCGGCGGAGGACAGGAAACCTATCGCATTGATGAACGTGGCGCCTGTCCCACGAACAAGAGCACTTACTCGCACTTCATGAACCGCCCCGTCAGCGGCTGCTGCGGAAAGTCCAATGTCAACTGCGTTAGTTGCGTGAACCTTGGCGGAGCCAACGGGTCCGAGTCACTTGGCAGGAGGACGTTCTTGCACCGCAATTCCAGCGCGTGGAGGTTGCTCAGCATGTCAAAAACCAGGGCGACATCACGGATCACTGCCTCGGGTTCCTCCGTCACGTTTACAATCAGTTCGCGCATGCTCGTGTTAGAGGTCGCGGTAATCGTGGCGATGTGATCCCAGCGTACGGCGTGACCTGTGTGCCCCACCGAGGCGAAAGTCTCGAGCCTGAGACAGCGAGCGAGGATGTACTGCAGACTGGCGTTGTACACGGAGGCTTCGTCGTCCGACATGCGAAATAGCTCCTGGACGGCCCAGGGTCTGCCAGTGGTAGACAGCGTCAGTGTTAGCTCGCGGATATATGCGCCATATTCGGCGTGAGCTTGAACGGAGCGAGCAAGCGCATAGACATGCTGGCGAGTCGGGAGGGTGATTCGAGTATACAGGTGAGGAAGGCCGGCTTCCTTGCGACCACGGCATTGTCAAGCGGGCTCAAATGAAGCTCATCAACGCACCATAAACATCTTGCATACCAGGAGCGGCCTCAAGCTCCCCCATCCTGCAGTAAAAACAAACGAAAGCACATGGGACCAAACCATTTCTTGGACATCGGAAGATTCATTCGCCATTGGGACAAAATGCGGATTAAGCGAGAACACCGTTTGGGCAGGAACATCGCTAAGAATCATGTCAACCTACTTCCATGGCATATCATTATACCTTACGGTTCAGCGCGGTCGTTTCGAAAAAACAAGGTCCTCAGCAACACTCCCCCGTTGCGTTCTAACTTGACCCGAAGCCCCTGCAACTCCGGATCCTTGCTCGGCAGAATCGGCCGCTTCACTCGGAGCGTGTGCAGCGGGCAGTCCTGGAAGAGGTCGTATGCCGCATCGGCCCACTGGTGCTCGGCGAGGACGAGGGTTCGAAGGCGGCGGGCGGCATTGATTGACGCTGAGATGGTGCTGATGCGGGCTGTCAGAGTGTGCTGGCGGTCCATTTCAAGTTGGTAGAAGTGGGTGATATCGAAGCATGTCTTGTGGCCATCGGTGTTGAGCTCCCATATGACAGACCACGCACCAGTTTCTCCCACCGCGGGATCGTCTCCACGATGGCATTTGTCAGCGCCGTGAGATGCTTATTCCGCCGCTGCCCATCGTCGTCCACAATGAGCGTCGCGGGATTGATGTGCGACAGGCCCCTACACAGCCCCTCGGTGCTATCGGTCCCATGGATGTGGTTGAAGCAGAGGAACAAGGCCACGATGTTTTTTGCCGAGAGGAGCACCTTCTCCATCGATGCGCCGTACCCGCCCTCCACCCGCAGCCGCTTGATATGCGGGCCCAGCTCTTTGTTGCTGACTACTGCGTGTGCCAGCGCGGCTGCTTGTGGCTTCGACCGGAGGACGACAACGCTATAGAGTAACGGCGCTCCGACCCGGTACCACGCATTGCACACCAGAAGATAGGCCGATGGCGACTCCCCGTAGCGCGCCCACGTCCCAGATCTCGTCGACTCCGCAAACAGGTCGCCCGTCACAGAGAGTGCTGGCGTTAGAATCTGTAAGAGGACTTCGGGAGGCAGGTCTTGTGGCATGATCGTCTTGTGCGTGGCAGCAACAAAGAATGATATACTTATACAATGTCCTTTTATTGTCTGAGACAATAAACGCAAAGAAGCACAGGTGACAAAAAGCAATGTTTGTTGCTTCTTTATTGTGCAGGGTGTAAGTAATGCCGGTCCGTGACACCGTGGACTGATAAGAAGGTCAGCACAATGTCTCAGAGTTGAGAAAATTGAGCACTTTTGTTCAGCGGCCGGGGCGGGCCGGCGCGTCCATCATCCGTGCGGCAGGCGTAGCAGCACCAGACCTCAGTACAACGAAGACAGGGAGGGGAAGCATCTGGAGGATGGCAAGGAGTGCAAGCGTGTGCGTACGGAGCAGCGGGATCATCGATTCTGTAGGGTATAAGTCACGTGCAACTGGCAAGTTGAAGGAAGACTACCGGTTTGCCATAGCAGGAGACTCGTGAAAGTACTTTAGCTCGGTTCTGATATCGACATCCATGGTGGGTGTCAACTTGAAGATGCTGAAATCGCCACTGACATGGTGGTGGTTCAAAGTAAAGAATCACTGGCAATCAGTCGTACTTGTCACTGTGTTACACTGTGTTACCGTGTTACCTCCTGTCACGATGACGTGCATCATCTAAAACAGGACCCCTGATAATGCCCCAAGAGGCCGGATTCTGGAATCCGGACAAATTTTTGCCTGAGGTTTGACCATAATCCGGACAGAAAATCGGCCCAAACCAAAAATGTCGAGCCAAAAATCCGGACAAATTGTCTTACCCCTCAACAGGTCGGATCTGAGTCCGGACAAATTTCCTGGTTTGGGTAGCAATTTGGATGGCCGATTTTAGTGGTTTTTCTAAGGTTGGATGTGAATCCGGACAAATTTTTGCGGTCTGTTCAAAATCCGGTCAAAAAAAATTCGGTTTGCCGTCCAAAAAATCCGGACAAATTTTCACAATTACTGATTTCAGAATCCGACCTCTGTGGGGATAATCAGGGGTCCTTCTAAAACTAGTACTACCATGTTCGTTGTCTCGTGACAGTCTCCGCTTCTCGTCCACAGTTTCATTCACCGCCACAGTCCTTGCGTCAGTTTCTGCAGCCCCAGTTCGATTCAGACTGTGTGTTTCGCCGTCGCTGGCATATCGGTCCATCGGACTAGTCCCTCAAAATCGTATTATTTAGATCAAGATTAGAGGTCGAAGAATATCACAGGAGCTTTCACATCTCAATATGTCCCACTCACACCTGCGCAGCCGCGAGCAGCTTGTCGAACGACGGTGTCCCTAGCCCCGCTGAAAAGAGGACAATCAGTCACCAGCGACAAACACGGAAAAACCACCCACTAATTGGATCCCAACCCTGCGTCGCCTCGAACGACACGCTTTTCTGGCACGTGCCAAAGTTCTTCCCCGCCGTTATGTCCGTGAACGCCGTCTTCGCCGCGGTACCATACAGCCACGGGTTGAGGAAGCCGAGCACGGGCTTCCCAGCGGCGAGCAGTCGGTCGTTTATGAGACTGATCATGCTCGCCACCGCAGGTGCAGAGGCACTCGTCTCCCCCAGGCCGGTCGTCCAGTTCCACACCACAGTCGCGTAAGCAGACCCGGTGAGCGACAGGTCCGGGAAGCCGCGGCCCGTGCGGTTGAAGATCCCGGCGAAGTCGCCCGGGAGCTGGTTCAGGAACGGACCTGTGAACGGCGACTGGTAGGCCGGCACAGGGAAGAAGTTGGAGAACCCGCCAGAAGTGTAAGGAGCCGCGATCTCAGGTTCGAAATCTTGGGTCGATCCAACGGAGGTAATCCAGGGGCACGTGCCCGGGAAGACGGGGATGAAAGTGTTGTTCGAGCACTGCCAGGCGTGGTCATGCCCACCGCGGGGGCCACCGTCACCCGAGGCGAAGAGGTTGGAGATTCCACGAGCAGCCATGGCCATGTATCCGTCGCACATTTTACTTTAAATAGTTAGTCGACTTGGAAAGGGAGAGAAAGAGAACATACGTGGCTGCCGATGGTCCGAAGTTCTCCTCATTATCCCCATAGGAAGTCGTTATCACGGTGGGTGCCGTTTTCAGGCCAAGGACGTAGAATATCGTGTCGAGCATGCCAGGGAAAAGGTCCTCGTCAACCAGCGCGCCGCCAACAGAGAGGTATTGGACAGGAACACCTGTGGCGAGACCTACATGGCTGTTAGAGCAGTTTCGACCCGAGAAGAGCGGACTCGCCGACAGTGTATTGGATGTCCAGGTTAGCCTCGGGCCCCGCGTTCTCAGGCTCCTGTGGATTCTTGCCGCCGTCGAGCGTAAACAATTCAAACTTGGTATTCGGGTCCATATCGGGGCGGTATATCATCAGGAAGTTCTATCCCGTGTCAGTCCGAGTTGAATGTGGAGGTGGACCCATTCGCACCTTCAAGTCCTCCTCGTTGGCCCACATGTCCTCGTAGCCTGTGACGAGCAAGTTGTTCTTGCCGCCCGCGCTGGCCGTCGCCGGCGTTTTGGGAATACCATACAGCTCTTGTAGACACGCTGGCTTGACCAGGAAATCGTCTATGCAGCTTGCGGGCACGGCCCTGCGGAGTGGTTGGCGTGCAATGCGAGAGTTAAGCTGCTTGTGCGGTTGGGCGGCAAGTTTTTTTGGCCTTGGCGGACTCGACCGAGTCTCCCTTAGGAAGGAGGAAGGCGGTGGTGGGGTGGAGAACCTCGACATGATCCGCTAGTTCCCGCGGGAGAGAAACACTGAGGGTGCGAGTAATGGGGGCATCGAGTTTTTCGTGGGAGAAGGTACGGAAGTCGGCAGCAAAGAGGGTGTTTGCCTGGGCGACGCTCAGTGTCAGCGACATCCAGTCGTTGTGAGGGGAGAGAACGGAATGGGTGAGGTTGTGTGTCTTGACGAAGGAGGTAAAAGCGGAGAGTGTCGCCTGCGAGGGCTCCATGTAGGGCTTAAGCTAAACAAACATGAGTGGCGGCCGCAACCGTGTCGAATGACGACGCACCTCTTCAGCAGACAGCCACTTCCGGAAGTCCGCGCTGCCCGGGGTGGAAATGGACAGCAGCTTTGCCTCTAGGCCGGCCATGTTGCTCGACTTCAGCCCGACGCGAAGCGTTACATTCTGGTCTGCTGGCGCCTTGCCCTGGCTCGTGAATCCCGCTGGCGCGCTGGGTCGTGTTTCATGAAGGATAAAACTGGCGGACACCGAGGTGAGAAGAGGAAGGAGGGTTAGAATGGCCGAGAAGACCATAAGTAGAACGAATTAGCGAGTCGGGTGGAAATAGAGAAAGTGTGATGAAGAGAAGAACTGCGCGGGGCCTATATGGGAGATGATTACAATCGTCAACGACAACGGGAGTGCGCCATGCGCAGCACATACCGGCGCTCGCCCGCCACGCATCCTCGACTTTTGGCGGCGTAGAGTCCTAGACGTTGTGGGGCGTCTCTCCGCGCAATAGAGGCCCAGTACAGTACTCAGTCGGCAGCCTGTGTTAACCCGATTGTGTGTCAGGTCGATGGCATCGTTCTGAGGTCGATCTCGGTGCTCCCGGCGTAAATGGGCTCCTCGGGGTTTGAGCCCTTGGCATGTTGGGGGAAAAGAGAGAGGAACAGCGGGTTGACAGCGGGCAATCGTCGCCGCGACATCTGACCTGATGCAATGCATATCAAGGTCACATGAACGGGACTTCGGGCCGCCAGATCAGCCGCCAACTTGAACGTGCGTGTCAACTAGATAAGAAAGTATGAGCTGAGAGTTCTAAGTTCAGGTTCTCAATGCTCGTTGATATCGGCATCACTTCCTGGCAGAACATTCTCATACCTTCACCCAATCCCCTTGCACTTTCTCACCATCAAGGGCATGAGTAAGAGTCTCTATATAGCTGGGGTGCCAGGGTCGGACTGACAAGACCCTCCGAGGCCCTCATCCCCAGCAATGAGCCTCATGGAATACAATCAGCAATACCAGTGAGCATCCCCCCTCAACCATGTTCTGGCAATATTCTTATCAGTGCATGCTGTACTAGCAATTATAGCAAGCCAGATAGCAGCAAGCCCACTTCAGCCTCAGGTGGTGATACAAATAGTGGAGGGACTACAACAACATCAGATGGCCCAGGAGATGATAACACTGGTGTGCACTAAGCAGGGTTTGTTTTAGTAGTAAGCAAATATTGCTACAAGATCTATCAAGTGTGTGTCAGGGGAACCCCCGCTTCGGCCTCCTTCGGACCCTCCGAACGCATCCGAGGCGCATCCGACCGGCGCCCCTTCGGACGCTCCGACCTGCCCCGACCATCGTCCACGGCCCCCTTCGCCCGCACAATCACCGATCCATCAAGACCCTCCCAACGATCACCTTGGGACATGGCCTGCGACGCCGCACAGGCCTTCTGCGCTCTACGTCGGCAGTTACGGACGACCAGTATATAGTTGGCGCCCTAGCAGGCGGACCCTTAGAGTTTCTTCTCTTTGGATCCTCCCCTGCTAGGTCGGTCCCTCCGTGTATTTCCCGTAGCTCTTATTCACGCTTTGGATCCTCCCCTGCTAGGCTTTCGTCGGAGTCTCCAGGGTTGCCCTTACAGCAGAAGAAACTCTCTACGGGATTAACCGGTCAAGATTGCCAGGTTCGGCGTGGACTCAGGCTCGGAGTACGAGTCAGTACCGCCCCTGCCACTTGACCCCTCCTCCTCTGCTCTTGTTGTCCTTACGCCCGCCATGTCTACCGGAGCTGCTTCGGACACTGACGCGTGCATGGACGCACTTGAGGCGAAACTTGACAACCTCACTAATATCCTCACCAATCTTGCTTCCCAGGCTTCCGCTGCCGCACCACCTTCGGCAGCTCCTGCACCGACTTCGGCATCTCCGAATGCCCCCGACGCGGATGCGTTATTTGGTGACATTACTGTCGCCTCAAAACTGGTCTTACGACCAAACCCCCCGTTTGCGTTTAATGGAGATCGCAAACGCGGCCGCGCGTTCCTATACGCGGTCAAAACCTACGCCCGGCTTGCCCCCGAGGCCTTCGTGGTCAACGGAGAGCCGAGTGAAGAAAAGGCCGTCCGCTATGCCATGTCCTATATGGCGGAGGGACCTGCTCAGCAATGGGCAGAGCGTCATGGGAGTAAAAACCCCTTCCCTCGGTGGAGCCAGTTCCTCTCCGAGTTTTGCCTTCGGTTCGTTGAGGAGAACGAACAGGACCTCGCGCTCGCTAAGCTAGAGAGCGCGGGTTATCACATGGGAACGCGGGACGTCTACGGATATACCGACGACTTCGAGGACTTGATGGACCTCGCTGGCTTCGAAGACGCGTTGGTTAAGGTGACCAAGTACCGCCACGGACTTGATCCTCTGATCAACAACGGTATTACCTCTTCGAACGACCCCCCAGACCTCCGTGACTATCTGGGTTGGCGCACTCGGGCTTTCCAACAATACGAAGCCCTGGTGCGAGCGAAGCTCATCAAGGGAACGGCCACCCCGTGGACCGCTTCGGGAGCTCCGCGCGGCGCCTTCCCTATCGCTCATTCGGCAGCTCCGTTCCCCATCCGCCCGGTGGCCCCGCCCGCGCCACCCGCGGCCCGTGCCCCCGTCCCTATGGAGCTGGATCGCACTAGGGCTCGGGGTGCCCCTCGTCGAGCCTGCTTCAGATGCGGCGACCCCAATCATTTGGCTCGGGATTGTCCGCTCCCCGCCCGACGTCCGCCATGCTCCGTTTATAGTTTAAAGTTCTGCACCCTTGTCATCACACTTGTCTCGCTCCTGCTTACTCAGTATGTCCTTCATTGCAAAAACTTTATATAAACATCAATCTGAAATGTGGTTTGGCACTACTGTTGCATTTTAATCAATTCGTCATTGTCATGGCCCGAAGGATGTGACATGCCTGACAAACTTGGCAATTTGTCAGGCTGTCCACATCAGGCAATTTCAGCGCCTCCGGCACCAGAACAGAGCGGAAATTTTCTTATTTGGACGTCTTTGGGGCAAAATTTTGGTGGAAGATAGTGACTGATGAAAAAAATTCGTCAAATTGAGGTGCGTGTGACATGTGACTGACGAACTGAATAAAATTACGGACATGACTAGTTGGCACAGGTGTGACATCTCCTCTCTTCCACGAATCTCTTCACGATGAGCCTGTTGCCGCTGCCCCATGATATTCAGTTCGAACAGATTTTCAGTGAATAAATTACAGCCGTTTGCATAATTTTGTGAAAATGTCAAATTTTGTTTGGACGCACGTGCTTGATCGCCCGGCGCGGCCGGGGGCGGCTGGCGCGTCCCTTAAGCTCATTTGCCATGGTCAACCAACTACTCTCTTCTCTCCCATGGCTCCCCCCATCTCAAACGACTTGAAACGTCGAATAATCAAATGGTACCTCGGTGACGGGCTCACGATGGAGATGATTGCGGAACGAGGGAATGTTTCGGTGGGGCTGGTCTCAAAAGTCGTGTCGCGGTTCTGTGAGACGGGTATGGTGGAGAACATGTTTGCTGGGCGTCGCGGGGCACGTCCAACCCTCAATGCGGATGATGTTCAGTTTCTGGACGCCTTGCTTGTGGCCAACCCCAACTTCTTCCTCGATGAGCTGCAAACAAAGCTCGCAGCAGTCCGGAACGTCCACATTTCACTCGCGACACTCAGTCGAGCCCTCATTCTCCATCAACTTACCCGGAAGAAGCTTTCTAAGCATGCGGCGGAGCGGAACGAGGATTTACGGGCGATGTGGGAGATGAATATGGCACAATACACCAACCCCAATCTTTTTGTGGCACTGGATGAGAGTGCAGTCGACAACAAGACAGTCCAGAGGAGTTATGGTCGCTCTCCCGCCGGCACTCCTGCTGTACATCGTGCAACATTTATTCGTGGAATCCGATATTCAGTCCTACCGGCATTCCTTCCATTGCACTGTTGAGTTGACGAAGAGAGGGCGATAGGCTATTGGAACAGTCAGCCTTTGGCGCAAAGAAAAGATATGAGCACGCACACTCTGTGACGATGATCTCCTCCGGATCTGCAGTGAGATGGGCTGCAAGGTCTGTAGGAGCTGTAAAATGGTGAGTAAACAGTTAGCAAGGACAAAGACATGTACCAGAACCAGTTCCTACGTTGATAGGAGCAGGGTTGAAGGCTCCAAGACCAGCCTGGTAGTTTGGTGCAATACCAGGACTCAGGAGGCATGTTGACAAATTGGCGCGCCATATAGTCGTAGTAGGGACGAGCATAGCCCAGAGTTGGAGCGACAACAAGTTCATGGAAGGCTGTCCCTTGTTGGAGGTTGTTTGGTTCGAGCCAGGTACGTGGTGCATCGCGAGGCGGAGGTGAAGACGAGTCGCGAGGCGGAGACGAAGGAGGAAGGCCAGAGTCGCTCATAGTGAAGGTAGTTGAGTGGATGAGTGCGTCCTTGAGGCCTATATATGACTGTAGCGCAAAACAAACTCTCAATTTGTGGCCTGTCTGTGCCTTTGTTGCCCAACTTTCGAAGACGGTTCCTACGCTGGGGATGTCGGTGTAGTCTCTTTCTCTCTCCATCTGGGTAAATTGGAAGCTTCTGGGATGGGAGGCGCATCGGTTGGAGGGGACTACATGGCGGTCGAAGGTGAAGGGAGCTCTGCCAGCAACTGCCGCCTTCCGCCGCGCCGGCCATCAGGCACGTGCGGCTGAGAAACCTTTTGACATTTTCACGAAATTATGCAAACGGCTGTAGTGATAGCCCGGTTCAGTTCGGCTTTTCAGTTCGAACCCGAACTTGACCGGACCGAACCAAGGTTCGGCGTTCGTGTTCGGCCCAAACCCATTTCGAACCGAACCGGGGCTCGGGTTCGGCCGGGTTCGGCCTTCTTGGCCCGAAAAAGGCCGGTTCGGGACCGGTTCGTTCGGCGTTCGGCGTTCGTCGTTCGGCGTTCGGCGAATCCGGGGTTTGAACCGGACCGGACTATAAATGGACTCCTCTCTGAGTGGGTGGTGTGGCGCTGACTTGAGTGAGTGGTGTGCATGGCTGTTCCAGAATAGAGACATGTGCGGCGCCGCCTCACTCAGGGGCGGCTGACGAGGCAGTGAATCCCTATCAGAGCGCTCTTAAAACAACTCCACTCCGCCCATCATCATCATCATCATGGCGCCATATGCCCACACCCGCCTGCCTACGTCGGACCCGTATAGCAATGCCGCGCTCAAGGCCGACCTGCATGCCTCTGAGCTTGACGGTCATGCCGGCGTCCGCCTCGGCCTCACGGCGCTCCTCGCCGTCCTCCCTGCGCTAGCTGTCCTGGCGCTGCTCAACCCGGTGCCTGGCCTCCTTTCCGCGAAGGGCGTAGCGCAGGCCTTCCTCTCGCTGCCTCTTGCAGCCTACCTCCTGACGCCGGCCATGTCTCGTGTTGTCCGCTCCTGGAGCTCCGGCCCGGACGACTGGCGTGTGCTCGCGGTGTCGCTAGTGTTGCTGTGGATGCGCCTTGCGCTGCTGGCGATGGTGTTCTTCCTCGACGAGCGCGAGCACGTGGTTAAGTGGATTATCAGCATATTCGCGATCCTCGAGTACGCATGCGGTGTGTGATCCATACTAAACCTTGCTGCTTTGCGTGCTGATGGCGATATCACAGCCGCTGTGTCGCACGTCACGCTCTTGCCCGCCGCCGACTTGGCCTGGCTGACGAAGCGCCGCGAGGAGAGCGCCGAACGGCAAAACGAGATTATGGACCGCGTCGCCGTGGCGGTCGGGTGGACGATACCATGCACGGCGGTGTACTGCGGGGTTGTAGCGCTCGTCAAGGCAACACATATCTCGATGATCCGCGGTGCACTTTCGGGCGCAGAGACCGGTGCCATTGCTGCAGTGGCATCTGCTAGCTAGTTTAATCGACGTACGATCATAAGTCAAGTTTTACATTTATTTCTTCTGAATATACTTGGATGATTGACAAACTTGGCCCAAATTCCTTTTTTCCAATACATAGTTTGACAGTGCACTATATGGTCATAAGTCTTACAGCTATCCTATACTAACTAGTAAGGATGTATACAGTATGATAGGATCCCTATAAGCTCCCTGTAGGAGAGCTATAGAATATCATAGGATAAGATAATATATATGGGCATATAGTGTCTTACAGGCCCTATAGGCCTTGATAAGGATACCATTTAAGGCAGCTGAAAATAAGAAAAAATCATCCTTTTTTTATCCATTTCTTGATATGTTTTGTTGGGAAGAGGTGTGATCTAGTGCTGGCCAAAGACAAATATAACATATGATGTTATATCCATATTATATTTGTATCCTCGGAAGAATAATATATTATATTCATATTCCCTTACAGATATTCAATATCATATCAATATATTCAAATATTGTATTTTGGGACAGTTTGAGAGCCAGGAAATTAGTCGTGACATGTGACTAGTTTAAGGATGGCAATATGGCTATGACAGGATTAATTGATTGAAATTGTATAGTTACTACCTTCAACACACACACACTAACACTAGGAATGATTCAATACTTAAGTATAATTGAATATTCCTAGACAGTAATATAACAGATTCATAACATATCATATTATATCCATAATATTTAAAATATATTCAAAGATATTTATTCATGGTGAGCACTAGTGTAATCTTCTCCCTCCCTGTTTGTTGACTGCTAGTGGCTGATCTATGGTGCATTACTTGCCCCAGCCAGACCAATATCCTTAAGAAAACTAAAGGTCCATTATTTGGTAGATGTGGTAGATGGAGACATGTTTCTCAGGTGTTTGAATGCAGATATATACACCTTTTGATAGTTTGTAGTATAAAGAATCAATATCAGCCTTGATATACCTTCATAGACAGTCTAAGCAACCCCCTCAATGTGGCGAGTGTCAGGGGAACCTCCCTCTCGGCCCCTCGGAGACGATTCCGATTCCGGTCCGACTCCGGCTCCGACTCCGGTGATCGCATCACCGCCTCCGTCAGGCGCATCGCCGCCCCCGCCTGGCGATCCCCCTGGGACCTGGCCTGCGACATGGCGCAGGCATACTGCACGGAGCAACGATCAACCTTGGCGCGTCAAGAGCGCAGTATATAGTTCCGCTACCTAGCAGGCGGACCCTTAGAGTTTCTTCTCTTTGGATCCTCCCCTGCTAGGTCAGCCTCACTTGTATTTGCTTACTTCTATTCACTCTTTGGATCCTCCCCTGCTAGGACCTTGATCTCAGGCCTCCGGGGTTGCCCTTACAGCAGAAGAAACTCTCTACGGGATCAACCGGACAAGATTGCTAGGTTCGGCGCTGACTCAGGCTCGGAATACGAGTCCGTTCCGCCCTCGTCACCCCCCCTACCACTTGTCCCCTCCTCCTCTGTCACTCCTGTCATCCCCGCACCTGTCATGCCTTCCGGAGCTACTCCTGACGCTGACACTCGGCTGGATGCACTCGAGGCGAAAATCGACCGCCTAACTGAGGCCCTTACTCTTCTCACCACCCAGGCTTCCGCTGCCGCTGCCGCCGCTAATACTGCTGGCGGACCCCAAAAACACCACCCCCGGAGACGTCGATTCCGACTCCGACTCCGGTTCAGGGCGATTCCGAGGCCCTCTTTGGCGACATCAACCTCGCCTCAAAATTGGTCTTGCGACCAAACCCTCCGTTCACCTTCAACGGCGATCGGAAACGCGGCCGCGCGTTTCTCTGCGGTCCGCACCTACGCCCGCCTTGCCCCTGAGGCCTTCGTGGTCAACGGAGAGGCGAGCGAGGAAAAGGCCGTCCGCTATGCCATGTCGTTTATGGCAGAAGGACCCGCTCAGCAATGGGCGGAGCGCCACGGAAGCAAAGCCCCGTTTCCGTTTCCGTCCTGGGGCTCGTTCGTTTCCGAGTTCCGACTCCGGTTCGTCGAGGAGAATGAGCAAGATCATGCTCTCTCCAAACTGGAGACTTCCGCCTATCACATGGGCACAAAGGATGTCTACCAGTACACCGACGACTTCGAGGACCTGATGGACCTCGCCGGATTGAAGACGCGTTGGTCAAGGTGACCAAGTTCCGCCACGGACTTGACCCCCTGATCAACAACGGAATCACGTCCTCGAACGACCCCCCGGACCTCCGGGACTACCTTAGCTGGCGCACCCGGGCCTTCCGTCAATACGAGGCCCTGGTCCGGGCCAAGCTGATCAAGTCAGCCGCCCCCAAGACGCCTGGCGGTTTGATTCGGACTCCGTTTCCGGTCAACCGCATCCCGGCTCCGGCCCCTTTCCGCCCGGTGGCTCCGGTCGTGCCACCCGTGGCCCGCGCCCCCGCTCCGGCGCCTCCAGCTCCCGTCCCCATGGAGTTGGATCGCACTAGGGCTCGGGGTGCCCCTCGTCGCGCCTGCTTCAGGTGCGGCGACCCAAACCATCTCGCCGGGATTGCCCCCTCCCCGCGGACGTCCGCTCAATGGACATCCTCGACGAGGTGATCCAACAACTTCGGTGACGAGATGTTAGCGGAGTTGATCGCCCGCTACTCGGACACAGCTGCGCTGCCGGAAACAGTCGGAGTCGATGGCCGGAGAGGATTTTGTCCCCCGCGACGAGTGACTGGTGTGCCCTCGTTCGCGTCCGTAAATCGTTTCGCTTGTTTGTATGACGAATCAATTCCTTTGCCCTACAACGAGCCTGAAACGAAAGACATACCCCCCCCCCGCCCCGTTTCGACTCCGTCTCCGACTTCGCCTGCGACTCCGGTCATCGTCCTTCGCCGCCTCACTGCCTGGGAAAAGAAACTGCCCAAGCAGTACACTGTCGCTGCTTCCCCTGGAGTGAACTCCCTCCACCTCCCGTTGGAGCTAGAGTCCACTACCAGCGCTTAAGCTCTCGCTCTCTGGCCTGGTTGACTGTGGTGCCACCTCCGACTTTATCGACACGAACTATGTCGCTCGGAATGGCATTCCGGTCCGCACCCTGGCGCAACCGATTCCGGTCTTTAACGTTGATGGCACTCCGAACGACGCCGGCTCCATCAACCAGATCGCGGACTTGGTCTTACGCTACAAAGGCCATTCCGAGCGTGTTCAACTTCGCCGTCACTCATCTTGGTAAACAAGACCTTATTCTGGGGTACTCCTGGCTGCGGAAGCATAACCCGGAAATCAATTGGGAAACCAAGGAGGTCAAGATGACACGGTGCCCCCGCGGTTGCTCCACTTGCCGCGAGGAAGAACGCGTTGAACGGACTGAGCTACGGCGACTCCGGCTGCTCCAGAAGCGACTCCGCTCCGGCCCGTTCCCCTCGGTCTGCACCATGGACCTCTCTGGGCCTGACGACGGAGACGATTCCGTCTCCGGTGACGACTCCGCCCTGCCTGATCTGATGCCGGACTCCGACGATGATGAAGACGATGGTCAGCTTGAAGATGGTGACCGCATCTTCTACACCTCGTTCCGCCCCTCGGAGGAGATACGCGCTGGCAGTACTGTCTCACAGCGCCTGGCCGAAGCCTTCGCCAGGAACTCCGCCCCTGCGCCCTCCGAGATCCCGGACTGGGCTAAGGAGTTTCAGGACGTCTTCAACAAGGAGTCCTTCGACACGCTACCGGAACGGAGAGCCTGGGACCACGCCATTGAACTCGTCCCCGACGCTAAGCCCACCAACTGCAAGGTGTACCCCATCTCGCCCCTCGAGCAACGCGAGCTCGACGCGTTCATCGAGGAAGGGCTTTCGACGGGCCGGATTCGCCCCTCCAAGTCTCCGATGGCGTCTCCGGTCTTCTTCGTCAAGAAGAAGGACGTGTAAGGGGAGCATGTGATGTGACAGCTGTGACTGATCACGTGACTGGTCCGTGCGCAGATAGCCCTGTACTTAAGTAGTTGGCTGTGGGGCTGTTCCCCCGGCTTTGGTATCAACTAGGCACCTGGACCCTCATCCCCTGACAGCATACCAAAGCCTCTACATCGACTCTGGCACTCTTCTAGCCCCAGTTGATCCTCTCTATCTCCTATATTCGTCCTCACCCTACTGTGCTTGCCTTCTCTCCTCCAATGACGACTCCTGGCGTCCCTGTCGACCTGTATTCGTACTGCCTGCTCCTGCAGAGCGAAATTACTCGCCTCACCGACCGTCTCGACCGTCTTGAGTATGGTACGCCTGCTCCACCCCCTGCTCCCCCTTCCCCTGGTCCTACATTCCACGGTGTCTGGGACGGCAGTCGCTGGGTTCTTCCAACAATCCCGGCCCCTACCCCTGCCGTCATCGCTGCGGCCCACACTTCCATACCACTTGCCGAAACCTTCCCCCCTACTGCGCCCGACACTGTCACGCTTCTCTTGTACGCTTGTGGTGCCTGACTCGGCTGTCGGGCATATCGTGGGTCGTGGCGGCAAGGGTCTCCACCAAGCTCATGACACTTCTGGTGCTCAGTTGCGCGCGTACTCTGATCGCGCTGCGCCTGGCGAGCGCCGGGTCTCTATCCGGGGAACCGACCAGCAAATCGGTGAAGCGCTTATTGCGCTTGGGAAACGGTTCATGCGTAAGCGTGTCCGTGCGAAGAAGCAACGTCAGCCACCGTCTGCTGAGGGACCTGCTCCCCCTCCTCCTGTCGCGCCTGTGCCTGCGTCCCACGCCACTAAGATGGATGTCGACCGTGCTCCGCACCGCTCGTCCACTGTGCCCCGTGGCCAGTCTCAGGTGCCCCGCCCCCACTGCCGCACGTCCTGCCGCTCATCCGAGGGCTTCGACTGCCGCCCGGCGGGCCAGCTGGGCATTCGCGACTGTCTTCTCCCCTCTTCCCGTCTACCCTACCCCGTCAGCCCGCCGCCGCCACTACCCAACCTATACGGGCCGCGGCTTCCACTCTCCCTACTCCCCAGCCTAACCCTACTCCCTTCGCACCCTCGGTGGCTATGGGAACTCCGTCGATGTTTACCCGAGTCTCGCATACCCAAGGCGCCTCTCCCATGCGGATGGATACCAGTGTGGCTTCCACTCCCATGCAGATTGACGCGGTAGCGCACGGTCGGCAGCGCAATCGACAGACGGCCCAACGAGGGGGCGTACCTGCGCAATCATCGCGTGTTATAGGCGACAACCTCTATTTCCCTGGCGACCCCGAATACGAGTTTGCAGAACCCTACACTCTGCCTATCCGTCGAGGCGACGGATCTTGAGGAGGGGTTGGTGTAAGGGGAGCATGTGATGTGACAGCTGTGACTGATCACGTGACTGGTCCGTGCGCAGATAGCCCTGTACTTAAGTAGTTGGCTGTGGGGCTGTTCCCCCGGCTTTGGTATCAACTAGGCACCTGGACCCTCATCCCCTGACAGGACGGCGGACTCCGCTTCGTCCAGGACTACCGTGCTCTCAATGCGATGACTGTCAAAAACCGGTACCCCCTTCCGCTGATCAACGACCTCATCAACCGGCTCAAAGGCGCTCGTTACTTCACCAAACTCGACGTCCGTTGGGGCTTCAACAACGTCCGGATCAAGGAAGGTGACGAGTGGAAAGCGGCTTTCCGGACTAACCGAGGCCTGTTCGAGCCCTTAGTGATGTATTTCGGCCTGACAAACTCTCCCGTGACGTTCCAAATGATGATGAATGACATTTTCCAGGACCTCATCCTCTCCGGAGACGTCATGATCTACCTTGACGACATCCTGATCGCCCATTCCGACCTCCGGAAACACCGGCAGATCGTTCAGGAGGTCTTGCGGCGACTCCAAGAGCACAAGTTGTACCTCCGAGCGGAGAAGTGCGACTTTGAAAAATCGTCAATCGAGTACCTCGGAGTCATCATCTCCCACAACCACGTCGAAATGGACCCCGTCAAAGTCGCAGGCGTCTCCGCTTGGCCGACTCCGGAAAACAAGAAGGACATTCAGCAGTTCCTTGGGTTCGCTAATTTCTACCGCAGGTTCATTCGGGACTTCTCGACCCTCGCGCGCCCTCTCTTCGTGCTCACCAAGAAGGACCAGCAGTGGACTTGGGGCGACGCGGAGGCCTCCGCGTTCCAAGCGATCAAGGACGCAGTCACCCGGAACCGGTCCTGGCGATTCCGGACGACGCACGGCCTTTCCGACTTGAGGCGGACAGCTCTGATTATGCGACGGGGGCGGTTCTTTCACAATCCGCCCCGGACGGGAAGTGGCACCCTGTAGCATTCTATTCCAAAAGCTTAAATGATGTCCAGCGCAACTACGAAATCCACGACAAGGAGATGCTCGCGATCATCCGCGCACTCGAGGAGTATAGACACTTCCTCGAGGGCGCCGCGCATCCCGTCGAGATTTGGACTGACCATAAGAATCTGGAGTACTTCAGGAAGACGCAGCACCTCAACCGGAGACAGGCCCGCTGGTCCCTCTACCTCTCCCGGTTCGACTTCACGCTGCACCACAAGCCCGGCCGCGACATGGGCCGACCTGACCCTCTCTCGGAGACCAGACCACGGAATCGATTCCGACAACTCCGACGTCGTCCTTCTGCGGCCCGAACTCTTCCATGTCCGCTCTCGAAGGCGTTTCCGTCTCCGGCCCTGGTTCTGAACTCCTTCGCGACATCCGCGATGCCCTCTCCGGTGAGCCTGACCTGGAGGAGCCCGTCGCACTAGCGGCCCGGCAACTCCTAAAGGTCCAAGGTCAAGCTCGAGGCCCCCGCTCCTCGCGCTCCGACGAGTGGGCTGTCTCCGGTGGTCTTCTTCACTTTCGTGGGAAGATTGTCGTACCTAAGGATAAGGACCTCCGGAGACGCATCATCGAGCTCTGCCACGACACTCGAGTTGCCGGACACGCGGGTCGCTTCAAGACCTTGGAGTTGGTCTCCCGGAACTACTGGTGGCCTCAGATGTCTCGCCATATTGGCCGGTACGTCGCGACCTGTGACTTGTGCTGTCGCACCAAAGCACTCCGGAGACTGCCCCACGGAGAGCTGCACCCGACGGAAACGCCCCCAGAGCGTTGGCATACCGTCTCCGTCGACTTCATCGTCGAGCTTCCGGAGGCCCATGGGTACGACGCGATCATGGTCGTCGTCGACACCCTTGGGAAGCGTGCCCACTTCTCGGAGTGTCACACCACGGTCGACGCAGTAGGGGCGGCTCGCCTCTACTACCGGAATGTCTGGCGCCATCACGGGACTCCGGAGAAGTACGTCTCCGACCGCGGCTCGCAGTTCATCGCGGACTTCACCCGAGAACTCTGGCGTCTAATCGGCATCAAGCCTGCCACGTCCACCGCGTACCACCCGCAGACAGACGGTCAAACAGAGCGCGTCAACCAGGAGCTGGAGCAGTACCTGCGGATCTTTACCAACTATCAGCAGGACGACTGGGATGAGCTGATTCCGGCCGCGGAGTTCGCCTACAACAACCACGTTCACTCCTCCACGCAACAAGTCCCCTTCATGACGGACACGGGACGACTCCCGCGCATGGGCTTCGAACCCGGAGTCCGTTCCGCTATGGAGTCCGTGAACGAGTTCCGCGACCGGATTGCCACTGGTGTTGCCGAAGCCAAGGCCCGCTCACTAAGGCCAAAGAGGAGTACAAGCGCTACTACGACCGGAGACGCACTCCGTCTCCGGAGTTTAAGGTTGGCGACCGTGTTTGGCTGGATGCCTCTGACATCAGGACGACTCGCCCCTCGGAGAAGTTCTCCCACCGCCGCCTCGGACCATTCAAGATAGTCGCGGAGATCAGCAAAGGTGCCTACAAGCTCGACCTCCCTCCGCGCTACTCGAAGCTCCACCCGGTCTTCCCCGTCGTCAAGCCTCGAGCTCGCCCAAGATGACCCCTTCGACGGACGCCCCGGCTACGACCAGCCCCCTCCGGACCTCGAGGACGGAGTCCCGGAGTGGGAAGTAGAGGAAATCCTGGACGCAAGGGTGAGGTATAAACGGCTGAATTACCGTCAGATGGAAAGGCTACGACGCGTCGCATGACCAGTGGGTCCGCTTCGACCGCGTCTTCGCCCCCGGAGAAAATCGCGGAGTTCTATCGTAAGTACCCTGGCAAACCACGGCACATCGCCTCTGCAACCTTCGACTCGATTCCATTCCGGTCTATGCGCCGGGACGCCGCATTCAAAGGGGGGTGATGTCAGGGGAACCTCCCTCTCGGCCCCTCGGAGACGATTCCGATTCCGGTCCGACTCCGGCTCCGACTCCGGTGATCGCATCACCGCCTCCGTCAGGCGCATCGCCGCCCCCGCCTGGCGATCCCCTGGGACCTGGCCTGCGACATGGCGCAGGCATACTGCACGGAGCAACGATCAACCTTGGCGCGTCAAGAGCGCAGTATATAGTTCCGCTACCTAGCAGGCGGACCCTTAGAGTTTCTTCTCTTTGGATCCTCCCCTGCTAGGTCAGCCTCACTTGTATTTGCTTACTTCTATTCACTCTTTGGATCCTCCCCTGCTAGGACCTTGATCTCAGGCCTCCGGGGTTGCCCTTACAGCGAGCTCACATCAGAATGTTCATGACACTATGGGGCCAACTTAGGTGGGAATACCAGGAGGGTTTTCCTCTTTTCACCTATTTTAGGCTGGTTTTAGGTGGTTTGTATAGAGCTCATTTCTGTGAAGATTATGTGATAATTTTTTTCAACCTAAAATTTAGGTGGTTACTTATTTCCAAAAAAGTCAATCAACCTAAATAGGCTGATTTGCCACCTATTTAGGTTGAAGAAAATATATATCTAATAAACCCTGTTTGTTATAGTCATATATCATATTGTTGACCTACTAGTTTGTCTTCCTGACTACTGCTAGTAAAGTGCCCTCAAAGAGCTCCATTTAAAACCTACCTAAGTAGGTGTGATTTCCACCTATACTTGACAGCATGTTGACATAGTTAACAGTACCAGTAGTAGCTTATATACTTGTAATTGTACAGCTTACTCTAACATATAGAATACAAATTATAACTTGTGGTAAGATACACCTATTCCTCTGGGTGTAAAGCTTAGGTAGAAAGTGGCCTATTTAGGTGGGTTTTCCACTACCCCCATAGGTTGATTTACCACCCTAGAAAATAACCTATATAGGTGGTATGCCAACCTGATATAGGTAGGATCTCAACCTGATATAGGTTAGAAACCCACCTGCTGGGCCTCCATAGAGTGATCAGCCACCATCCCAAAGTCTCCACATCACTGCCGGGTCCATAAGTATACCGCCACGCCGAGCCCCTCCGCCGCATACGCCTCCAGCTGCGCGATCGCGGCGTCGTTGGGCAGGAAGGGCCGCGCATCCGAGAAGTCGGGACGGTCGATCTCCTGGAACAGCTCCATCGTGACCGCGGCGAGCGGGCCGTGCGGCGGGCGGCGCTGCTGCAGGACCGCGAAGAATACAGAGTAGCGGAGGTCGGCGAGCCACGTGTTGATGGCGAGGCGTGCGAGCCGCGGGACGATGCCAGGTCGGACGAGCGTGCGGAGGGCCGGCTGCCCGCGGCCCTGGATGTGGCGCGACCGGATGTGTCAGCATCGGGACGGCGCAGAAGAGCGCCACGAGCTCGGTGTCGGGCGTGTGTCGGCCGATGTGCAGCGTCAGGTGTGTAAGCGTCGGCCCACACGCCGAGCGGACGACGAGGTCGCGGATGTCACTCACGTCTGTTGTGACTTGTCGAGTCGAGGCTGCGCAGACGCGGGGTGTGCAGCCAGTGCAGCGCTGGCTCGGCGTTGACGCGGAAGTGGGCGAGGCTGGCGAGTGCAGGGAGCGATGTCGGGCTCGGGAAGGGCAGGCCGTGCATCCCATCGAAGTCCAGACTTGCCACATTTGGGAAGCGCCGCACGAGATCGGCCACCATCAGCGGCGGGAAGCCGCGCAGGACGAGTGTGAGCGGCCGGCTCCCGGCCCGTGCGAGCCACGCATGCAGCAGTGGGTCCGGCCGTGCGTCTAGACTACGACAGCGAATTTGCAGGCGGCACCAGAGCAGCGACGTGGAGTGTGCTACCGCCCGCCAAGCGCTGCAGATGTGTGTCAACAGCAGTGGTGCACAATCGGAAGCACACTCGGGAAGGAAGGGCGTTGTGTATGTGAATATGGCTGCCATGAGCTCCGGCGGGAGGTCGACTGCTTGCGCCATGTGAGGAGAGAGGAAAGATGCGTGTCACGGTGATGTGCGGGCACGTGCGTGACTGATTGGCGATCGCCCTTGTTTTTCGACGGCCACGTCACACACGGGTTGACGCTGCGCTGCGGTTCCTCTTTGGTTAACTTTGGAGGGAATGCGCTGGACCCGTAGTCACATAGAACCTCGTGGCCAAGCGAATGCATGCAAAGTTGAAAGAGACGACGCAGGTGCGTTCCCTGCCGTATCCATTTCCTTCTAAGTTGCTCACCTTCTCCCAGGAATTTGTTGTTCATATTAGGACTGCCTACAGTGGAGGCCCTCCACTGCCAGTGCCTCTGAGTCATAACACCACCCGAAACTTGAAACTTGAACGACCACTGACACTAGGAACAGTGTCAACATCAGGCTAACGGCCGCCGATTGGCGACTCGACGAAGCGAATGCGGGCAAAGAGAGGACGCGGGGCGTCTCCTGCCGTATGCGTTTCCTTTCATGTTGCTCATCCTCTCCCGGGAATCGTTTTTTCTCTACAGTAACGGCCATCCACTGCCTCTGATCAGGCGTCGAAGCGACCACTAGAATGGTGTGAATAAGCGACCGAAGTTGTCAACGTCAAGATCAAGCTCCAGGCCGCCGAGAAGTGCAAGCAACACACGGAGAAGGCGAGGACTGACGCGCGTGGAGGACAGAGAAGCGCACTGTGTACGCGCCTGCCCGCGTGGGTATTAGATCAGCCTCTATCCCACCCCATTCCTCCCTCTCCCACCCCCCATGTCCGTTATCGAGCGCAAGGTCGTCCAGTCCGCAGACGGCACCGCGATCTACGCCGAGGCCACGGGCGACAAGGGCAAGCCCGTGGCGGTGTTCATCCACGGCTTCGCGATGACGAGCAGCGCATTTGACGGGATCTTCGAGGACAAGGCGTGGACCAGCTGGGGGCACCTCGTCCGTTCCCCCTCTATGGCTGGAGTTGTTCACCTTTTTTTTCTTGCCAGATCCGATACGATGTGCGCGGGAACGGCCGCAGCGGAAAGCCGACCGCAGACGCGGCGTGGGCGTCTGGGCGGTTGGCGGAGGACTTTGATGCCGTGATGGCGGCGTTTGGGGTCAGCGATGCGCGGCCGTTTGTGGTGGGGTGGTATGTTGTCTACTCTTCTCCTTCAACTTGCTGATTTATTGCAACAGGAGTCTGGGCGGGACGTACATCACCGACATCCTCGCTTCCCACCCGCCATCCTATCTCTCGGGCATCGTCTACGCCGCCGCCCTGCCATATATGGGCCCGACCCTCTCCCTCGTCGCCGCCCCGGCCGTGCTCTCGCTGCTCCCCGCGCTGACGCAGACATCTGACGTCGACCTCTACCAGGCCGCCTCCCGCGAATTCGTCGGGCTGTGCTATGCCGCATTCGACCTGGCCGCTGCGTGTGCCTCAGCGACCGACAGCGACGCGGACCACCGCACCGCGCTGGGCATCCTCGGCGCGGCCCTCCTGCAGCCGCGCGCCGTGACGGTGCAGCTGCTGTCCCGCACGCAGGACCCCGGCCCGCTCCTCGCGGCCGGCCGGGCCGGGGCGCTCCCGCTGCTCGTGCTGAACGGCACGGAGGATAAAGTAATCCAGCGGCAGGCGGTGGTCGATGCCGTGGACGGGTGGGACGCGAGGCAGCTGCGCGTCGTGGATCTCGAGGGGGCGGAGCATTTCCTGTGGCTCGGGACGGGGAAGGAGGCGTTTGGGAAGACGGTGCGTGGGTGGGTGGGCGATGTCCTGGCCGCGGCGCAGCGGATGTACCCATGAAGACTAACGAGGTTGTGATCGGCAGCGTTGTGGTGTCCGTGTTCAAGAATGTAAACTACTATTATCTGGCAAGCATATTGAACGGTTCAAGTAATAAATGGTAAACTACTATTTGAAAGCTCGGCTTACGATGATGCAATGGCACCTAATCCGAGCCCGGAGTTGGGCCGCGGACGATGGAGACATGGGTCGCCTTGACGAGCGCTACAACCCCGCAGTACACCGCCGTACACAGGATCGTCCACCCGACCATCACGGTGACGCGGTTCTCTACCTCTACCTCGCGGTGCCGGTCTCTGTCCGGCGCGGTCTCAGCGTCGCGGCGCTTCATCAGCCACGCCAAATCGGCTGCGGGTAGTAGTGCGACATGCGCCAGACTGGCTGTGAGCTCACAATCAGCACTAAAAAGGGGCAGAGCTCGCATAGTGGCGTGGCCGAATGGCGTGCGCCCGCCAAACGCCGGCGTGCACGCCATTGATGGCTGTGGCGTGGCGTGGGATGGCGTTGGACACCGGCGGAGGATTCTCCCCATCGTCGGTCGACATGGATTGAATTGCACCATGCATTCCACTGGCTGTGAGCACTTCCCACAGAGTGGCTTACTACGATTTCGGGCTCGTCCACCGGTGCACTTCGGCCCCTCCGGCATCCACCGGCGAGGGCCGCGAGGCCACTATATGCTTCCCCGTATGCACTCAGAAGGCAGAGGGCGTCTCAGAAGCCATTGTGGGACACCTTGTGTCATAGACGGGCGTCGAGGTACCGCTACCCAAGAGCGGCCAGCCCACTTGGACTCGGCACGGCCCACCAGTACCGCCGGTCGGGGCCCGCGGAGCTCCTCCGGAGTTCATTTGGCGGTGCTCTGTCGCTCCAGCGCGCAGCGTCAGGCAGATCATCGAACCCGTGACAGCCCTCCACCCCTCCACCTCTGAGTGGCGCCGGCCGGCCGGCCGCATTGGAGTCTGTCGACCGGACTCCCTAGAGCTTGGGCGAGGAGCACCCCGGCCGGGCCCGCGACACCGCTGTTGGCTCTTGTGCAAGTAGCTACACCCGGGATACACAACTCGAAGACTCGGATCAAAGTCCGACGTGAACGCTGGTCGTTGCTAGGCGTTGCTGGGACTTACTAGGCCCCTTACTGGAAGCTTTCAAGGCGGCACTGAGGCTCGTGAGGGTCGGCGACCCTCAGCATCGGTGGCGGCCCACGCCAAAATGTCTGGCGTGCCAAGCCGACAGAATGGCGTTGACGCCTGATGGGCTGGCGTTGGCTTTGATCGCCAGCCAAACGCCACTCCCACGCCACGCCACGCCACTTGGCGCTGGCGCACGCCATTTGGGCACGCCAAAACGTTAGCTCTCAAAAAGGGGGGGGTCTGATTATCCACGCACCGCATAAGCACTCGAGGATCGCGAAGACGCCGATGAGCCACCGCGCGACCACCTCGCGCTCGTCGAGGAAGAACGCCATCGCGAGCAGCGCAAGCCGCACCCACAGCAGCACGAGCGACAGCGCCAGCACGCGCCGGTCGTCCGGGCCCGGGCCGGCCCAGCGGACAACACGAGACAGGGCCGGCGTTAGGAGGTAGCATCAGGAAGCACGGTTTTTGCGATCCGGATCAGCGCCAAGTAATTGTAGTCCGACGGGACCTCTGGTAGCCGATGATAGCTGTCATGTCCTTTCCGGCAGATGGTCGTAGCATCCGATAGTACGATATTGGCTTGACTGATGTCTACAGCCACTTATGTTGCTCTTAGGGCTTGGTTTGTAAAGATTTTGGAGGTTATCAAACGGTTTGATAAAAATAGCCTCTGAAACCCTGTTTATAAACCGGTTTTTAGGTTTTATAAACCACGTGAGCTGATATGACCAGAGAGATCAAAATTACCTTTTTAGGAAATTTTTTCCAGCAAATTTTGGTGTTTTAACTTCATAACTTTGAGATTCATAGACATTAGGGGTTGAAACAGCAAGGTTATATCAACTCTCACTTGTAAGTTTGCATAACATGAATTAGTTATATATAACATGTATAATTTACTTATCAGCAGATTTTAGAACCCCTGTCATGAATCCTTTAGAACACTTAAAAATCATGATAACCTTGATAATAATTAATCTGTATGGTTAGTATAGTATAGTCACACACCCAAGCTCCCAATACTTACTAGGATTAATCATGATCAATATGGCAATATTAGCCAAAAGTGGGTTGAGATCCTATTGGATAAGAAACAATATATTACACTAAACCTATAAGATATGATCAAACCTACTAGCAGTATATAGAAGCAATATTAGTGTAAAGTAAGTCTGGTTTGCTAGCTTCTTTCCTTTTTGGGTGCTTACTAATATAAAACCATAAAACAGGGGGTTTCCAGCCAGGCTGTTTATAAACATATAAAACAGGGGTGTTTATAAACCGGTTTACAAACACCCTTATATAAACCAAGCCCTAGTTGCTCTTGCAGATTACAACCAGAACCTACTGTGTCTCCGAGAGGTCTTACATATATATTTGTGAGTTTCCAAGAAGCTTTAGTACTGGTAAACTAGAAATGTATGTTATTAGCACCACGCGACAATGTGTAGGCTAATCTAGCCGCCTTCTGCTTGCGATACTGATCCACACGATAGGTATTGAATCGATAAATGTAGAAGTCTCGATGACGCAGGTAGGGATGAAAATAGAATGTAGTTGCTTGTTGAAGCACGTTCTCAACCGTCCAGTTTGCGTTGATTGGAAGCGTGTACTGAGGGAAAAGATGGCAGGACTGCTCGAGATCAGCCAACGAGACAACACCAGAGCGCCGTTGGCCCTGGGAAGTTGAATGGGTGACGCGATTGAAGCCAGACGGGCTGTCAAACTCAGCCAGGGTGTCGGTGCGGAAGGGTGTGAACCAATGAAGATATACGAGTGGATGTGGGAACTTGGACACAGTATCTGGAAGACGAAAGATGAATTTTACGTGGGCAGCACGCAAACCTGGAGCCGTTACTCGATCGGAGGGATTGGTAATGAATGCTGAGACTCACTACTTAGTGGCCCCTTCTTCCAATCACGCTCGCCGACCCGCACGAGAACAGTGCTGAACTTGGCTGCTTTTGCTCGTTTAATACCCTTATCGGACATTGAGCCTTCAGTGGCTAAGATGGCATGAATGGTGTCGGTTGGATTTGACGGCGCGGCACGGAAAGTGGGCAACTGAAGCGTTGCTTGTTTGAAGCCATCGAAAAGCGTTGATGTGAGAATGGGGCTGCGCTCGCGGAGGCCGTTCTTTTCAAAGAACTCTTGAACGTAGTAGAGGAAGTCCCGTACACCAAACTGTGCTTCAATGTCCGCCGCACTGAGTTTGGGGTATGCCGGACGAGTAGCGATGGTGTATTTGGCAGTGATTTTGACCTCTTGGTCCTCCTCGACCTCATCCTCTTCGTCTTCATCATCTTCAACACTCTCAGCAACCACGGCGGCAGATGGTACATAGTATAAGAGCAGTTTTCACAAAAATTTAGTTATTTGAGTTTGTGCTCGGTCAATTGAGGTTTTGAAGATGGTACAGCTTTATGGTTGTGTTTTTTTGACCAGGTTGTGGTGTGTCGTCTACATGGTTTTTGCTTCTCAATTGCTGGTTTGTGGTTTTGCTATGAGATCTGTGGTTATGTTTATTATGTTTGAGCTTGAGGTATCATGCATTAGACCACTTACCCACATTTAAATTTAGTAGAAATTGATATTATGATGGCCGATCAATCCCATCAATCTTGCTATTGCACTTTAAGGCATCCACCTTCTACATATCCAGATTATCTGGGTCTCACCAAGCTTCAGAAAGCCTCAGACATTTGAACTGCAAGATTCCCAGACCAACCAATTGGTAAGTATAGCCTTCCAGACTTTGGAGCTTTGTAGAGAGTATTAACTTGTTGTAGAGCATTGATGAATTGATCTGAATCTGATGGGAGGGGACAAAGGAAATGTGAATTCTAGCTTCCAGACACTTGCAATACAGGCCTGAAACCTCAACCACAAAAATCAAAACCTCAACCATGTATGTCACAAGCACAAAAATGACCTCAACCACAAAAAATGAAGACAACCATCAGTCATAAACCACAAACCACAAGCAAATAATTTTTTGTGATAACTGACCTCATAACATAGCCCCGTCCTGGCTGATATCCGACAATGGCGGCTTCGAGGTAGCGGGAAAAGTTGTGAACCGATTCTTGCCGTGTCAGCCAGCGCATCATTTGCCGTATATAGTCGCGTTTATTCGATGCGCGGTAGCCATTCTTCGCAAGATCAATGTGGAGTCGTTCAGTATTCTCCGTGTTTGTTCCGTCGCAGGTGCCACGAGAACGAATGCTGGCAACGGTATGCCAAATATTGTGCAATTTGCTGATGTCGAAGTGTTCGCGGATGCCGAGCTGCTCGAAGATGGGCAGATATCGATGCATATCGACTAATGCCTGTTCCATTGCATCCAGAGATTCATCAGTGTGAAGCTCGAAGTGAGCGTAGAACATGAAGTCGAGCAGATGACGTGTTGCAGCCACCACATCTGGGTCGACAGCATCTTGAATTGCGCCAAGGAAAACTTTCGAGAGGTTGCGATACTCAGCGCCAGTCCATTGCTTGATGACAGAGATGCCATTCGAGAAGTGGCGAAGCGTGGGATGACGGGGCATGGAGCGAAAGCGGCTGTCAAGCTCTTTCTTCCTACCCTCGTCACTGCCATCGATTGCCTCCATCGCCCACTTCGAAACGTGGTCAGCGAAGACGCCCTTGTGAAGCTGGTGGAGGAGGTCGGGTGTGATGCAAGAGTGAATGTCGCAATATGGTAAGTCCGCCCAGTATGGATTGATTGGCCGCAGATTGAGTTCTTTGAAGCGCTCGTCTCCCAAACCATTCGACATCTCTTCCATGACCCTCACCGTCTCCTCCTGCGTCCGCAATGGAAACTGTTTTGTCGACCCTCGCTCGTTTGGCGGACATGTGCACCGAGGACAGGTGTTCTCTTGGCAACAGCACACAAGGCACTGCTCGGGGTAGTCCATGATTTTCGCGGCCAGTATGGGGAACGACGACCGCACCCAGCCATCTCCACACGCCATCTCCATGCCCTCTTTTCCTGCCTTCACCAACGGCTCGACAATCACCCGCATACCATCATGGAACGTCTGGTATGACGTAAACTTGCGACGAGGTTTCGATATACCATCCAATTTGGGTATAGGTAAGTACCCTAGTAACATCGTTGCATGGGCAGACGACTGTCGTCGGACAGATTTACTAATGTTTCCAATAGTGATATAAACAGGCCAAGCCTGCTTATCGCCAGCGAAGGTCGAGAGTTGTGTCTTGTCGGAGGAGAGAATGACGGGGACGATAGTAGCACCGTCACCCAGAAGGCCCTGATGTCGTGAGTTTCCTCTCTCTTATCCGTCACTACCACTGACCTGTGTGTCCCACCACCAGGTTCCCGTCCACATCTCGTCATACTCTCTATTGGTGTGGTCCTTGTTTCGGAAGATCCGCAATGGCTTATATGCCTGTTTCTCAGAAAGGGCGGGGTTACCGAGCAAAGCAGCAATACATTCGAGAATGTCCCTATGCCAAAGCTCAAGAACTTCATCGCTTTTCGCCTTTCCGCTCGCATCGACTTGATCGCTTGGGATCGTGAGGGGGTGGTACAGCGCCAGGCTGGCCCTTGGGGAAGGGAGTCGATCTTCTTGAGGAAGGCCCGAGTGGTTCCGAAGCTCAACTCCATCTTCTCTCGCACCTTGGAGGTATGTCAATCGATATTGACAGCCTGTACCATTCAAAATCTCACCGTCTTCAAGTGTAGGAACTCGTCAATCTTCTTCTGCGACAGTCCCGAGGTTATCAGCCAACGCCCGACATCCCACTCGTCGACTGATGCAAATGGAGACCATGGCTGCCTTCCTGCTGCTCGCTGCTGACCCAAATACGTCTCGAATCCGGTTGCCGTCACTGTTGTTTTCCGGATTGGCTCCCCTGCTCGTTTAGATGAAGGGTATTCCTCAATATGGACATATTTTGGGTCGTAAAATGAGACGGGATCGTTGCTGGTATCATCCTCGACTTCTTCGACAAATGCACGCTTGTTCGTGGGAGGTGGCGGTGGTGACTGGGCAGGCAATGGGTTGTCGAAGGGGAATTGGTCAAAGTCCATTTGACCATCCGGTATGGACTCTACGGGCTGGTCTATCGCCACTGACTGTGCTTTCAGCGCAGCTTGTCGTCGCAGACAGTCCTTCTTCTGGGCTTGGTGCGACTTGATCCCTCTGGCGCTTGCCTTCCATTCGCCGCAGTATTCGCACTTGGGCATGGCCGCCACTGGAGCAAATGGTTCCTGCAAATCCTTGAAACCCGCGCCCATCATCATCATCCCTGAAACGCGGCGCAAATTTTCGTCGTCACGCTATTTTTTTTCTTCTCTTCCCCCACCAGCATGTCCACCAGCGTTCGTCGCAGCAATCGGCGAGGCACTGCAGGTAACACTCTCTCTGTCCCTTGTCCATCTACTGACTTGTCGAAGACACTGCTGGTACAGATGACCTTAGCAACATCAGCATCGCAGAGCTTCGTCGTCATCTTGTGCAACGAGAATTTGAAGAAAGGCAAGAACAGCGTGCGTATCATGCTCTTCTAGAGTGTCGGTTCACTGACCTGCACTGATAGAGCATGTGTTCCGTAACGAGAGCGAGTACGAGGAAGAGGAGGTAACAAGCGCAGCCGGCTCGACACACCCACTCATCAACTTTGCCACCTCAGTATGTGTCTTAGTCCGTACTTTCCTTGCTCATCTGTCAAATAGACTGTCCGTGGCCCAACTTTTACGACGCCCCAGCCTGCACTCAAGACGGTTTCTCGCGTTCAGCTTAATGCTGCCCTGCGAGACCGTAGCAACTTCGACGACCCTCATGCCTCATCGTCGCCCTTGGCTTCCTACTCCCGCAAAAGGTCCTCCGACTCTTATGACAATATGGGTCGCGAAAAGCGAGCACGGACAGAGGAATCACCAGGTTCCGCGGGGGGCATGAGTCTGCCTTCGTCGTCACCTGGTGCGTAGTTTTTTTGCATGTCGCTATAATAACCAGTCTGTAGAGCTCCCTCCTTCTCGACCGAGCCTCACACCCAGCGATATCACAAGCTTGATGGGCGACGAGTCCACCGTCCCCGCTAGTCCAGCCCCCATTCCTCCCTCGACAACACCATCGCCTGTCAATCCTGTCCAACATGACGCAAACGGCAAGATTATCCCTCCCTTCTCGCCTTCATGGGTTCCTGGCCGTCGTCCTAAGGCTGAAGATTATGCACCAGAGCCGAAAGCGGTCGTCCTTACTGCTGCTCATCATCTCGAAGTCGCGGTCATCACGAGGGAACCATTTCCGCCGACAATCGCTACCGACAGCCGGCCTGGCGCCGTTCTCCTCAGTCAACTTCGCAATGCCGCCTGGGAGTATTCCAACAAGAAAGCGGGTACAAACTACTCCTGTACCACTCCCATTGGGCAAATTGTGGGTCTTCTCTTTCTCGACATCCACTTACTGATTCTGTCTAGATATCGGCACGGCCATCTCGGATTCGGGGCGATATTGTAAGCGACCATGTTCGTCCTAAAACTCAGGTCCATTATGGCTTTGTGGACGGCAACGACAAGGCAACACGCAAGAAAAACAAGTTGCTGTACACCAAGCTCTCGGGCAATAAGCGCTTTGCACATAAGGTACACATTCATGATCATCTATTCATTCAACTGCTCTCGCTAATGGCTGTCGAGGATATCGAAGCACAGACGTGCTTATTCGAAAACCCGATCCTCCTCAATATCTTACAAAGCGCCTGCTTCGGTAAACGTGTCCGGTCCATGGGGATCGTCTTCGAAGACATGTTTATGCCTATCACTCTTCCTACAATGGCATTTATCTTCACAGCCGTGCGTATTACTTTTTTATGAAGTACAAACTGATACTTGTCAGGTCCAATTCTGTATCGAAGAATGGTCAACCGGACGGCTCGTCAAAGTTGCCTTCGAGGAAGACTCTGTTGCTGCCAAGTATATGGGCATGCTTGCCGATGTCAAAAAGTGGGACGACATTGACCCAACGTTTAGCAAGAACCTGCGTAACAAGTGGTCGAGGAAGCTTCGGTGTGTAGCCTTCTACTTTCTCTTACCTATATCATGACTGAGCGCTCAACAGCAAGCTCGCGGGTGTTGATGATGCCGAACCCGCGGCTGACATGGTAGTGACAGCAGAGGTCGAGGCCCGCATACGCGCCCGACATCGCAGGCCGGAGTGGAGATACCGATTCGGAGCCAGAGGACGACGGAGGTGATGGCAATGTCGATGACGAATAGGCTTACCCTACTCTAATATTATTTCTTTTGAATACATTCTGTTTCACTGTTATTTCATTCTCACTATCAACTGGACGCAATACTTATGTGTTGTTCGTCTACGTAGAACATATAGGCCGGTTGCTACCATAGTCTTGGCGGTAGCTATGGTCACTACCAGCCGCTACCGGAACAAAGTGTTGCATTACCGGAATGTGAGAGTCTGCTACCGACTACTACCTACGTCAATCTAATCGGCACCCTTTCTACCAGCCAATCAGTGCAATGTAGGCAACCTAGACCTACCTTGGAAATTCTGTGCTTCCTGATGAGGCCGCAAGCGGCAGCGAGAGGAAGGCCTGCGCGAGGCCCTTTGCGGAGAGGAGGCCGGGCACCGGGTTGAACAGCACCAGGACAGCGAGCGTTGGGAGGACGGCGAGGAGCGCCGTGAGGCCGAGGCGGACGCCCGGCATGCCAGGGCCGCGGCTGGGAGGAGTCGTCGAGCTCAAAGGCATGCAGGTCCTTGAGCTCGTCCGGGTCCGACGTCAGGAGGCGGGCGTGGGCATATGGGGGGCGCCATGATGAGGATGATGATGATGGGCGGAGTGGAGTCGTTTTAAGTTTGATCGCCAAGGGATTCACTGCCTTGGGGAGCCCCTGAGTGACGAGGCGGTGCGGCGTATGAAGCGGGTTCCTTCACTTCAACTCTTCTTTGTGGTTCTCAGCCATGCAAACCACTGAGGCCAGCCTGGCAGTCAAGTACCACGGTACTACCACCGGCTACTGGCATACAATGAGAGTCACTCGTGAAAGGAATCCATACATTCACTAAAGCTTTCTCATACTGACCTATTTCGATCAATTCAGCGGGCCTGTGACCCGTGACCGTTTGGCCGAAATGTTCAATTTCGCGTGACCTATTGCCTGATTAGGAAATTCGGCACGCCCGCAGGCGCGGAAATTTTGAAAATCATCCTAATTGGGACACTTTGGGACCAAAAAATTTGGCTGTGACCCGTGACCCGCCGAAATATTTCGGCCAAAAAATCCCATGTGACCGTGACCGGCCTAATTGAAGGAAATGGGTCAGTAGTAATACTGGGTGCAAACCCAATAGCAGTCTTCCAAATGGACACCTGCAGTGGAAAGGTAAACTAAGGAGTAAACTGGTTTGGTTAAGAAAGATTATATCATATGATAGTTTCCACAATTCATGTCATGTGACCATTAATGCAATCAAAAAAAAAGTGGGATAAAAAATTCAATATTTGTGAAACTTTTTTTTGCAAAAAATTTATATACTGGGTGACTTTCCGTAAGACAAAAGTAATTGTTTTTGCATGAATAAACTCCTTTGCTCAGATGACGGCAGTCCCATCAGGACCCCATCGGACTGAAATCCCCATTTGGGCCTCTAATAAACTTCAAAAAGTGGTTAGATTTATTCAGAGGGTCAGGACCCCCTAAATAAACTATTTTCTTGCCTCCATCACGAAAACTTACCAGTTTGTGACAAGCATGATCACTGTCACAGATAGTCACATGCGTCACACTGCCACATCTCGCTTGAGATGAGAAAACATAGCATAGTTGTGTGCTTGTGGCTGCTACTACTAGTGCTAGGATGTGCTATTTTGTTCCTGGTGCAGCTCGTCGTTGGGCATCACTCCCCTTTTCATGATAGTTAAGTATTGATGTGTTGTTTGAATAATGGAATGAGCTCGAGCATTGCATCCAAAATTATTTATTCTTACAGGAAGCCACCGTCTTTTAAACATGAACTTTAAGCTAAAAAGTGACAGATTGGCACCGCTCGGAAATTCCATCCAATTCCTTTGCCCTTACGGGAAGTCATCCACTGTAGTATTTTACTCATTTCACATGTCACATATCACACCTGTCAATTTATGCGAAATTTTTTTGTATCTCACAGCAAATCTTCAAAAATCCCTTCCTAAAATGGTAATTTACTGTAGCAATTTATTCAATTCGGCAGTCACGTGTCACACCGGCCCTCCGGCGCCGAAATATTTTGGCGTGTCACGGGCCCACAGCCAGATGCCGAATGTCAAATGCCCATCAAAGCATCAAAAAAATTTTGGCGGCCCTCCGGGCCGAAAGATTTCGGCTGTCACACACATCGACAGGCAGCGCTGAAAATTTGATTTCAGCGCTGATGTCACACCATTTTGGGGCGCCGAATTGAATAAATTACTACAGTATCACCCTTTTCTGTGCCTGTGGTGCCTAAAGTTGCCTAATTAGGCAATTTGATGTCATCATCCGATTTGCGAATTTCATGTACACTGTCACGCCAAAAATGGCATTCAGATTGAGTAAAATACTACGTGTATACGTATATGTGGTAGGTATATATGTATCTGGAACCTTCAAACACACATGCTAGGCTCTTCAACATGTTCACCTCTCATCAATTACCTGATGATAGGCCTATGACAGAGTAGGCTGTTCAAGCTTATAGGCCTGAAAGTATGTAGATATTAGTATGAGAGTTGTAAACTAGAAATTAAAGTGTATACACTATATTTTCAGTGTCTTTACACCCATATAAGGCTTAATTGTTTCATATATAAAAAGTTCTTTTTTACACAGTGCCTATCTGATCTGCCCTGGGATCTAATCCTATTCCTAATGCTGTAGTGTATAAAAGCCATATGTACCTACAGGATGTAGTTATTAGGCTATAATCATCCATTCTCTGAGACCCCTGCAGTTGGATGCCAACGATTCAAGACAGCCCGGGCCTGACACTGACAAAACAACCTGATTCAATACTGCTGCTGACAAATTACAATGACAAGGGTATATTCACAGAGATGGCTATAATATTAACTGCTCATTCATCATGGTATGAATAATTTAAGAACAGTAATTTCAGTTTGACAGCTTGTTATTCTAATTAGACTTGGTTACATTTTACAGCTTTTCTCACAAATTAGGCTTCAACAGCAGTAATCCCCAAAATGGCAATACTATACTATTTCGATCAGTTTGTTGTCACCTGCCAATCTGTGTGACATGGTGAA